GATTTTGGTTTTCACTTCCTGAATTTGTGTCGTACAATTGTATTTTTCTATTCCTTTTCTTAGATTACATAAATCTTTGGAAAGCATCGCATAAGAATTCAAATAGGTGTTAATTAATTTTTAATGTTTTTAAAATCTATCTTGTCGTTAATACAATCTTAAGTGACTTTTGAGAACTATGATACGTTCCTGCACCGATACTTGAAAGAACTTTCAATGGAACTGAGAAAGAGGGAACTTAATAACTGAATTTAGAGGTGATTCTTGGACTCGGATAGAAACGTGTAAAAGGTTCCCATAAATTTTTACTAAAAATAGTCTAGAAATCTAATTTGAAATTGCAAAACACTCAAATAATATTTTCCTATTCCATCTTTTAGGTTGAAAATAAAAAGTTATTAATTACATGTGATCCACTTCCAATGATATAATTGATAATTAATAAAATCTATAATGGCATTAATTGCCATTTTTAAATTTAAGTGAATTAAAATTTAGAAAATTTTCACCTTTTGAGTTAGAGACCTCTTTTCTCCTTAAAAATATAAGAAAACACTCCTATCTAATAAAATACTATGAATTTCATTAAAGCCCTATGGACCACCAGCCCTATAGCCACAGTGACATACTAAAGTAATGACAGTACTGATGGGCGTCATTATCCTTCTTTTTCTGCTTCATCTATAATAATTTTTTCTTTTTCAATATAACTAAACATTTTCCTTCTATCTTATTAACATACATGATAGGTTTACATTACCAAGAATTGTAATTCTATGGTTTTTTTTATTTTTGGGTTCGAAAAAAAACTTTGGAAAAATTTGAAATAAAATTTCAAACATTACTTGGCAAATTCGCATTTTACAAGTATTGAAAGTATTGACTGAAAAATTCATTTACCATACTCTTTGCTTGAAGAGTACGTATAGCTTGTCTGCCGTTTTAATAATTTGAACAGAATGGGTCCCAAGTGTTGGTCGGTGTAATAAAATGTCTCAAAAATCATTTTGAAACCAGCAATTTGGGATACCAGAAATTATAGTTTGGTTGGGTGATATGATGGAAACTTTCTGAGCCTTGCCAGAGACATCATCATAGCGAAAGTTAGGAGGAAGGAACGTAATATTAAGGCCAAGAATTTGAAGGAAAATATGAGAATCTAACTTAGAGTCTCCATATTAGTTCTATATTAAGATGCTAGCTTGTGTCTCCTTTCGGAGCGACCTAATTTATAGTGCAAGAAATTGGCCATCCAGCTTTCATATGGCTTATGTGGTGATACAGAGGTAGTTGGCAAAATGGAATTAATTAATGCCCTATTTACTCATTTTAACTATATGTTATAGTTTAATTAGATTTCACTCCAAAAATCTTTAAGAGCCTACTGAGTACTATGAAATTATTTTTTAAGAGACACTTTACATTATGGAAATTCAAAATTCAGTTATAGTATTTATATAGTGAGTCAAAACTATTAACTTAGTCATGTAAGTGGCTTACTTGTTGCACAAATCTGTGTGTTATTTCAGCGTAACAAAACATGTTTTAAGCCCAGATCCGATGGCTTCGCTTATTAGACCAAAATCAACAAAGGGTTCAATGATTTTTTAAAAAAGTATTTTGACTTTATTTCATTTTTTCTCCAAGTGTATGAAGAATTATTTCTCTATTTCAAATAAAATCATTAATCTTATATGATTTAATCCATCAGTGTGCTAATAGACCTTCCCAGTTTAAAAAAGATTTTTTTTCACAATTTATTTTTCTGAAAGATATTAAATTAAGGATAAAAGTTTATAGGAATGTGGTGGAAAAAAGCCTCACAATAATTCTCGAGGCAATTATTATGAAGTACCTAACGCAAAATTTGGACTGAAATATGTTAGAATTAGGAATAAAATTCACATTTGCCCCCTGAAACTTGGGAAGGTTAATATTAATTTATTTCCAACAAAAATTTTAATTTTGTACGATTTACGCCTTTTTACAATTTTGTACCAAAAGAAACAAAAAATCTCAGTTTACTTGCTTAAAAGCCAATTTTTAATTTCCAATTAAAATTAATTAAAAATACCACAACAACTACCTTTCATTCTAGATAAATACAATAAAGAAATATATTGAACAAAAAAAATAATAAACATTTTATATACCAAAATCATTATATCAAAAATTTTTAATTTTATTAAAATTTATAATAAAATATTTTGTTTAGTTTATTTTTTAAAAATTATTATTATTAGATACTATATATAATATAATACATACAAAATTTACCGAGAACACCTTTTTGATAAAAGTTATTAAACGAGGATAAGTAGATTAAATAAAACGTGCATTATAACTATATAGTTCTGATAAATAAGAGAAACGCGGTTGTGTGAACTGTAATTAGGTAAAATAGCAATGAGAAACTAAATTCCTATGAATTAGACATTCCTTACTTAGAATTCTTCTTTCCTAGATTGCATGCAAAGTTCCCAGAATGATAGACAAAAAGCTCAAAAGGAGAGGCAGTAGTAAAAAATAGCCCTTGTTACAGGACAATATTGGAAATTGTGAGTAGTGTTGGATAACCGTAATACTGTCCATTTCGCATATCATACATGCATACACGGATTAAAATGTTTATTGGCATTCAATACTATGAAATAAATTAAAATCCATCCATCTACAAGGGTATAGTGCATTATTTAAGGAATTGTTATTTGCTGTTGCATTATGTTGTTTAATGAACATTATCGTGATTAAGTTGTTGGCTTGTTTTTACATATTTTGTTTATGTGGAATTGGAATGGAAGTGACGTTACTATTGGGATTGTAAGGGTGGCCTTTCCACATACTGTCGGCTATGTATGCTAGAGATCAATTGCCCCCGAGTGCATCTTGGATTGATAATATCGAGTTAATGGCATTGATATGGAAAAATCACAGATGGCCTCCCGTTAGCGCTAGGCAAAAGAACAAGAGTAAGTATAAATAAAAATAGGAGGGCTGGTCAAGTAAGGTGGAGGACTAAATCAGCTTGTAAGGGATCCGGTCCCCTGGTGCACACGTTAATGTAACGAGCCTATGGTCATGTGTGAGAAACGGGCTCGTCAGGATTTTGGTGACGCCAACCTGCACCTATCTCCACTTAATGTGATTATTGGAAAGTGTTAGTATGTTATGGTTGATGATTACCTTATGGCCATTTGTGTGGATTGACTGTTATAATTAGTATAACTAGTGGATTGAACTTAGATTGAATTTACCATACGTATTTGTGCTGGATTGTATGGGCGTGTTGAAAGTTGGCTCTAATCCTACTTACTGAGTTTAGGCACTCCCACCCTTTGCCTTAATATCTTTTCTACGATTACAAGTCTTTGACATCTTGTTGTTCCCGTCAGTCAGATAGATGTCTAGAAAGATTTACCTTAATAATATATTTTGAAATTTTAAGCTTCTAGATTGTTCCGTTAATTACGATAGTCAGTATAATAAATTTTAAGAAAATTTATTAATGGTATTTACATATTTAAAATTTCGTATTAGCTGTTTAATACATTAATATTAACCTAAAGAATTGTGGAAAACTTCGATTCTATTCATTAAACTTATGCATGCATTATAGCCAACACGAACCCTAAGGACTTATCATATTGAATGCGTTCGATTAATATTAGGGCCTAAAGCCATTTCTTAATGAACATGAAAATTTATTCAGTTATTACGGGCGTTGATGGGCTTTAAGCCTATTCCAAGTCTTAGATGTCGGTTCGGCGCCCTAAGGTAAACAGTCCGTGACATAAAACACCTATTGACCAAACGGGAAAGATCGATAGATTTTAAGATATTTCTTTTTGAATTGTTATTATAGATTTTTACATAATACAATATTGCCCCCTCCGATGCTTGGAGAAAAAACAATAATGATGAACTAAATAACTAAAAAAAAAAACACATTGCTTTCCTTAATAAATAATTAACTTCCAAACAATATATGTTTTGGAAAAACTAAATTGTAAAAAAAGTAAAACACCAAAAATAAGGGAAAAGATATGAAATTGGTCGCGTTACTATTTATAGTTAAAATTATACTTTTGGCTTTTTTCTATTCCAAAAAAAAGTTCTTTCTTCACTGTTAATGATAAAGAAATGATCCCCTAATTTATAAATTAAACTAATATTGATGATTTCTTTTAAATATGATTTCATTAACACTTTAATATCTTAATTAGACAGATATTACATACAGAGTGTTTATCAGAATATTATAATTTAACAATATTTATGTTCAGTTTTTGAAACAGAAATCCTTATGGTTTATATTTAACAATAATTTAGGATCGCATTTTTTTTTCAAAAAGAAATAAATAAAAACTATGCCTTCTTTGAATAAAAACCCTTGCCATTGATGCTCGTTTTGCACTGAAAAGCAGGCATCCCTTAGGCGTTATTTTCTACGCGTGGGCTTTTATATCTTGCAGAGACCAATCTTTTCAATTTTCATTGTGGGTCATATATTCTAACGGACATTTTGGTTTCCTCTCTTCCAAAACTTAAGTTGACCCTATGAATCACTTATGATAGGAGTGCGGGTCTTAAGTTTGGAATGGCCATTATATTACCCACACATCACCTCCCTTTCTATGCAATATTATAAATTATGTATTTTTTTCCTTTATATTTCATTTAAATTATATTATAAAATGAAATTTAAAACCTTGAAAATAAATAATTTTAAAGTATTATATAACAATTTTTAATAATAAAAGGCAACGACTAAAAAATCCATCCACTAGAATGATAAAGCGACACCGTCAGTGTATAAATTTCTTTCTTGCCTTGGACATTTATTCGAACAGGTTAAGCTCATGGTAAAATTCCCCCCGTTTTTTTTCTTTGATCCCGCTTTCTCCTCTCTGAACGAAAGCCAGAAAAACTGGCAGGCACAAACATGTTTGCTAGTCAACTATCTTCGCGTTAAAATAAACATTTTTTCCTCTTTTGTGAGCATCTCGCGTTAAATAACATTTTCCCTTTTGAGCATCTTCTTCTCCTTCTTCTTCTTCTTTCTATCAGCCAAAGTCCAAAAATCTCATTATCATCTTCTTCCTTTAGATCATATAACAAAAAAGAAAGCTAACCAAGACCCATAAAATTCCCAAGTACAGGACCCACAAAAGAGTTCTACATTCAATGCCTCGAAACGAAAGATAGCTCCATTAGATTTGAGCTAAGTTTTCGTGGGATTCACTTTATTTTACTGGGTTTCTTTTTATGTCCAGAGGGAGATTTTTTTAGAAAAGATTAGATTTTCAGGCATCTCTGCTGAAATGGTTCTCTATTAGGTAATTTCCATTGCCAAAGACAAATTTCTTCTTTTTTTTTTCTTTTGTAATTTCCATTGCCAAAGACAAATTTCTTCTTTTTTTTTTCTTTTCGTTTTGTTTTTTGCGGTAGATAATTTCTTGATTTGATGCCTGATTAGTTATTTTTTGTTTTTACTTAGTTTTTTTTATGTCGGTTCTATGTTTATCATATTAAAATGCAGATTATCTCTATAGCATAATTGTAGTTGTTTGGCTTATGTTATTGGATTTTAGGCAACTGAAGCAAATTTTTTTTTTCTTTTCGTTTTGTTTTTTGCCGTAGATAATTTCTTGATTTGATGCCTGATGAGTTATTTTTTGTTTTTACTTAGTTTTTTTTTTTTTTTAATTTTTATTTTTTTTATGTCGGTTCTATGTTTATCATATTAAAATGCAGATTATCTCTATAGCATAATTGTGGTTGTTTGGCTTATGTTATTGGATTTTAGGCAACTGAAGCAATATGATTTTATTAAAATGGACAATTTGTTCCAAAATAGAACATGGTTTTCTTTTCTTAAATTGACAACCTGATATAGCAAAACCCATTTGTGATTAAAATTGGGGGATATCATTAATTGTAATGAATTTACATTTGTGACCAGAGTTGTGGAAATTAAGCTGTGAGGATCATTCTTGCATTATTCGAATGACATGGCTATATGGTTTGTTATCATGTTTGTTTGACACTACTATTACATCGTCAATGAGTTCATTTAACTGAATGTTGCCTTTTGATACTTGAATTTGCTGATTGTGCTTATCAGCTTGGACTTGTTTCTTCTCTTGTTGGTTTGATTTGCTTATTAGTTTGTGATTGCTTTCTCTAAAGTATCAATCTTGAAAAATGTCCGATATTTTGGGACTATTTCAATCGAAAACTTAGCTGATGAGAGTTTTTAGGTGCTGAATTTGTGTCCCTGAGTTGTATTGACTTAGTGCATAGCTGGGTGTTTGTGCGTCAATTCACTGGATGAAGTTTTTGTCCATAATGAATTAAGGAAGGGAGACGATTTTCTAGCACCATTTCCTTTAGTGTTCAAGGAACAGGGAATTTAAGGGGGACTAAATAAAAAACCGAGGTAACAGAATACAAGCTAGAAGCGAGGAAAAAGGAAGAAGAAGCAAAGGGAAAAGAAAAATCCTTTGAAACCAGAGAGACCATTGTTGGTGAAGACATGGGATAACAATTTTTTAGCGGATCTTGGATTTTCAAGAACTGATTCTCTTTATGAGTCTATTGGGTCTTACTTCTAAGAATAAGAAGAGAATGTCTTGAACTTATATTTCAAAGGGGATTGATTTGTTCTAGTCAATAATCAATATTGTGAATTTTGAAGGAGAGTTTCATTTCCTGGTTTTTCAGAGTTGAATAATTAGGAAGTAATAGATCCTCAGACAGTGGGTGTTTGGATAAACTAAGGGAATAGAGCGGAATGTCTTATCATAAATGACATGGTGATTTATGAAATAGTGAGTAAATGGTGATTGGTAGCGTTAAACTGGTTCAAATGGCTGCGATTGAAATTGTGATTGGTAGTGTTCAACTGATTTATGAGCCGCAAAGAAGAGTGAGAATGAGAGAATGGAGAGGCTTGAAGTCATTTGCATATGAATCTTGGTAGTTTGATGAGCGTTAACTGAAACATTTAGAATTATTACATGTGTGTGTGTGTGTGTGTGTGCAGAGCAATGATCTGTTTCCGTCCAGCACATTTTGCACTGGCATTGAATTGTCTTTTAACTTTTTTCCGTATTCCTTACAGCACTGCTATTTTTAGTCTCCATTTTGTTTCTATCTTTTTCTCCTCTCCCAAGCAAAATTAACGAGAATTGAGTGAGATGAGACTCTGAAAATGGATAAATACGCGAATAATATTTTTCTTTATTGCACCATTATTTGCTACTAATGATGAAGATAAATTTTCAGATCTAAGTCTCACCATTGAAACTGGAGATATTGTTGAATCAAAGGAATCAAGCTCATGGAAATAGGATATTGGAGAAGAATGCAGGCATAACATATTTTTTAACATGATTTTGTTAATAAAATTGTAAGAAGTTGATTGGTATTGATTGGCAAGCTGACGAATCAAGGCCATGATAGGCAATCCAACCCATCCCTTGAGCAAAGATGAAGAGTCTGTCAAAATGCAACATTGCAACATACATATGCTTGTTTTTATTGTTGCCTCTTGGTGTGTTCTCTCTTCGCACTCTTCTTTCTGATCCATGTGACCCATCAAATGAGTTGGACCCACAAGCCCTCAGAGCAGATCAAATCACTGTCCTTATTAATGGATACTCCGAGTCCCGCATCGCTCTCCTCCAAACAATTGCTGCCACATACTCTGCCTCCCCGCTTGTATCCTCTGTGCTGGTCCTCTGGGGGAACCCTTCCACTCCGCCTCAAACACTGGCCCACTTGGCCCATAATCTCTCCCTCTCCTCCTTTGGCATGGCAACCATCACCCTTGTACGCCAACCTTCAAGCAGCCTCAATGACCGCTTCCTCCCTAGATCATCCATTAGGACACAAGCTGTCTTGATTTGCGACGATGATGTGGAAGTTGATCGTAAGTCCTTTGACTTCGCATTTCAGATTTGGAGATTGAATCCTAACCGACTAGTTGGGCTCTTTATCAGATCACATGATCTCGATTTGTTATCAAGGAAGTGGATTTACACTGTGCATCCAGATAAGTACTCGATTGTGCTCACAAAGTTCATGATTTTGAAAAGCCAGTATTTGTTCGAGTACAGTTGCAAGGGGGGGCCTAACATGAGCGAAATGAGGAGAATTGTCGATCAGATGAAGAACTGTGAAGATATACTGATGAATTTTGTGGTGGCTGATAGGACAAATGCAGGACCTATATTGGTGGGTGCAGATAAGGTTAGGGATTGGGGAGATGCTCGTAACGAAGACAATAAACAAGGGCTGGGATTGAAAGATGCAGGAGGGAGCAAGGTAACAGCAGCGGGGTTGAGCAGTAGGAAAAGGGAGCATAGGAAGAGGAGAGGACAGTGCATAACAGAATTCCACAAGTTGTTAGGAAGAATGCCATTGAGGTATAATTATGGGAAAATAGTTAATTCAGTTGGTGAACAAGGACTGTGCATGAAAGGGGGCAAGTTGGTCTTTTGCGATAGATACCAATGATTTTTTTTTTTTCATTGTCCAAGAAAATATTTGTTCAAACTGAAATTTCATTTCCCATTTAAAATTCTCTAATATATCAGAAAAAAAGTTAGCATGTTGCTTGTAATGTACAGAAACAAAAGAAATTTTGTCAGCAAAGCAAATAGCTAAAGATGATAATTTTATTCTTTCAAAAGACAAACTTTATAATATTTGCTCTCACTATGATTCGATATATGTATACAATTTTAAACTTTGAACTATTAGTAATTATAAGTGTATCTATTGTTGATTATGTAGATCATCGTAGTACTTATTAATCCATTGGTCTATAATATTGATCTCAGTATTTCTTTGTGCGACCAACCACTCTGGATCTGTTGTTTTGTTCGCTCGAAGTATGTCCAAGCAATGAGACCCTGCAATATACAACTTTTCTGTATTAATAACATCTTCCAAAAATAAAATGTATATTACTTTTCTATTCTTGAACCAATTTACAAAATTTTTTTTTTATGCCATTTGCGTATTCTTAATGTGTGAGAGAAATTATTCTTAATTCAGGATTTAATGTGTGAGAGAAATTATTCTTAATTCAGGATTTATAGCTGCAGCTTTTCATAGAGTATTTTTCACGAATCGAACTTCTTATATTGTAGAAATTGACCGTTGAACTCAATAATATTATATCACTTGAATCATTTATAGTTTTTTTTTTTTTTTTTTTTACCGTTGAAACTCAATATAATATTATATCACTTGAATCATTTTATAGTTTTTTTTTTTTTTTTTTTTTTTTTTTTTTTTTTTTGTTAAAAACGAAGATGTATTTCCCTCAAAGACAATGAGAATAATTAATAATATTAAATATTTAGAGGCTAATTCAATTATTTCCATTTATAAGTGTAAGAACTGAAGCAGAACTATTTAAAATATATTCATTATTAATAATCAAATAGGACCAAAATTATCTTTTGAAATAAATAAACTGAATTAAAATGAAAATGTATGGTGTTCAATTAAAGTTTACACATTTGTTGTATAGACTTGAAAGCATACCTTTGCTTGTATAAACAGCAACAATAGTGTCTGATATGTTCTCCAACACCCTATAATCCGAGAACAAATTCTTGTTAAAATAATAAAAAAAAAAAATATTGGATTTCTTCCCTCAACTTGTAGTTTTTTTTCCTGAAGAGAAAAAAAAAATAATATTTTTAAATTTTTTTTAGTAGAAAAAAATTAAACAAAATCCATAAAATAAATGTAAAACCACGAATTTCTCTATTTTAAGATTTTTATTTACCCGCCACTACTAAAAGGATCTCTTAATCCATTGGAAAGGATCTCTTAATCCATTGGAGAAAATGATGTTGCTACCAAACCTCTGCAGAACGAGTTTTATACTCTGCAAATTGCAAAAAAATTAAATGATTAAACCAATAGTAAATTTAATATCTTGGATGTTGGATGTGATTAATTAAGCGAAATATATAATTAAATTAGGGAAAATTGGGATTAAAAAAGAAAATTAAATAATTATCCTAAGGTAGCTAGCTTAGATTTGTTGAACTATTTAATAAATAAATAAATTAAGACAAATAAAATAATTAACATACATGGCCTCCATAATAGGTAGTGACCCAACGGGGCCTTGGTGGTACGCCATAGGATGCCTTGCATTCTTGAACGAAGGCATTGAGATCAAAAGGAGCAGGTGGAAACATTGTATCATTGCCACGCCCAATTGGTATCACCATCTCGCTACATGTCTAAACATCCATATTTCATTAATCAATTCTCTTCATGATTAATTAATATAATTACATAATTAAAAATCTCAATAATTCAATATACATGTCTTGTCATACAGAATCCTTAACCTCTATACTGAAAATGCATACAGAATAACCTCTATGTTAAAAATGGAAACCATAAAAATTTTTGGTACAACATCTGTCAGGCTCAACTGAAATATTAATATAAAAAATGGTTGTAATCCCTTATTCCCAGAAATTTGAAATTAAAAAATTCTCCTTAACTCTCCTAATTTAACGATGAATTTTACATTTACAATTTTAAACCAGAAAACGCCTCTTATCTAAAAACGTTTAGACCTTTCAAAAATTCTTTTTATATTTTTATTTCTATATTTAAAAATTTGTCTCTTATATTTAAATTCTAGCATCGTGACAATGTTTATCATTAGCATTTTTGTTGAAATTTTTGGGAAGGAAAAATGAAAATGCATAAGATGATTAATAATATTTTGCACTTTATGTTTTTTGCACTTTGTTCAATTAACAAAAGAATGTGTCTATTTATAGGCTTCAATTAACAAAAGAATGTGTCTATTTATAGGCTTACAAGTGAATCAAATAAGACCTAAAAATACTCCTAAAAATCATTAATCCTAATAACAAAAATAAATATCTCCCAATCAAAATTAATCCTAATAACAAAAAATAATAAAAATATCAAATTCTATGCAGAAAATCTGCACTAAATAAAATTGAAATCTCAACAGATTTTTCATAATATTATTTTGAATTAATCCTAACAATTTTGACACTCCTAGAAAGATTATTAGCACTACCATGGAAAGCGATAGAAAAGTGGGGATAGAGTAATAAGTAACGGCCAGAATTGAGAATTTGATTAAATACCTGCCATCTCCAACCCACAGATGTTTCAGATACATTGGTGGGTGAATGAATATAGCAAGTTCTGTTTCCTCTATAAGCAACAACACCGCCAAATATTTTGCTGAGTGTATCATTCCCATCACTATCAGTATTGCTTCCATCTATGCCATTGCAGACCACTGTCACTGGATATTTTGGTGGCTTATTGTACTGAGCAGCACCACTATACATTGTGTCCAAGTAATCTTTGAGCTCATCCACATCGGTTAATGGTCTAGAAAACAAGAAATATAAGCAAATAATTGATAAATTACAAGATATATATATATATATATATATAGTTGTATACAAGAAAACTTTTTGGGTGATGTTCCACAAAAATAGTTATTTAAGTTATTGTTAGCTGATCCTTGTAGTTATAAGCTATTTTACTAGCATTTCATCAAACGTAAGATAATGTTTCATAATTACATCACACCAATCAAAAAAAATATTTAGAGGGGATGAAAAAAATTTTCAACATTTAGAGGGGTGAAAATTGAAAACAGTTTAATATTTTAAGATAAAATATAAAAATTTATTAGAGGGGTGAAAATTGAAAACAGTTTAATATTTTAAGATAAAATATAAAAATTTATATGCTTTATAAGGTAAATTTTAGAAAACTTTTAACATTAGGGGCAAGGTTATTGCTAGCCTACCTTGGTTCCACCGTTGCATCATATAAAGTTATAAATAATACTCCTTCTGTCTCATTTTTGTTTGCTTGTTATTCCTTTTTTTTTTTTATGTACTAAATGTTTGTAAGTTTTTTAAATTTATCTATTTAAATAATTATTTTTCTCATAATAAACTTTATGATTATTCATTAGAGTTTTTATTAATATTTTAATAAGTTAATGGTAAAAAAGGCAAAATAATATTTATTGACTAAATTCTTAACATGTGGATTTTGTCAAACCATACAAACAAAATGGGACAAAGGGAATAGTAAAGACACTAAACGTTATATTAAACTATGTTGCGAAAAAGGCCTAATTAATTATTATGAATTAAGACTTAGTGGTTAGATTATGAATTAAGTTATAAATATGGATGCAGAATACTTTATCGATCCAATAACTATATTATTATATAAATATTTTTATAAAAAACAAAATATAACATGTATTATCACTTATTTGTGGAGGAAATTAATACTTGCAAGTCTTGAATTTCTTGCTGAGGATTGCAAGGCCATTAGGTTGAGAAGCAAGTTGATCAATTTCTGGCCATGATTTTTGTATTGTCTGATAGCAACTCTCACTAGCTTCCTGCATAAGTAATAAATTATTCATCAATCAAACCTTTTCATGTGAATGTGATGTAACATCTACATTAATGGACAAAACCATTAATTAAAAAGATAATTACATTTAATCAGTATCCTGATCTGAATTTGAAAAAACCACTGTAATTGAAAACTTCAAGAAAAATTATCTTGCTGATTAGAAATTTTCAATATATAATATCCAAAATTCAAGAACTTACAAACCTTGTAATCTTTGGTGACAAGAGAATAGTATCCATCCTGCGGAGTGATATCATCAAAGTAAAGAATTGGCGCTGATGAGGCCAAGGCTCCAAGTGCTATGTGAGGGTACTTAAGACGAAACCATGAAGCCAGCACTGAAACACAGAAAAACGAAATGAGTTTGATTGACCTAGAAGGGTACTTAAGGACGGAAACCAAGAAGCCAGCAACTGAAAACATTCAGAAAGTAAGCGAGAGATGAGTTTGGAATTGACCTGAGGGAGGTTTACGAAGTCCATTTAGTGAATGCAAGATCAACTTGTTGTCTATTGAAGACGGAAGTTGAGTATTTTTTGAACATTTCCGTATTTGAATAAGAAAAAGGATAGAGACTAAAATTAAGTTTTGAAAAATCTTCATCCCTTGCGATCCCTAATTCTTTAAAAATTTTTTTATCCTCCTAAATTCAAAACCACTGTTATAATACTTTAATATCAAACATTAATAATAATTTAATAAATAAATAGAAAACATAAAAAATTATTAAATATGACAGGAGCATGTTGTATCAACTAATATTACGAGATGTAATTATAAGTCTTTCATAATTGATGAGTAATACTTAATAATTTCTTGTATACGCCATAACATTGTTTACAAAGGCACCTACTTCCACCATATGATCCTCCCGGATGGACAATGACCGGAGAAATTTTCAGCGTCCCAAAGGTTTTTTCTTTACCATGAAGTAATAAATCTTCTGCATAATCTGCAAGAGCTTGGAGCGGAATGCAAGAGCTTGAGCGGAATTGAAATATCCCCGAACACTAGCATTTTTCACAGCTTCTTCTTGTGAACCAAATGGGATTGACTTCCCATAAAACCTGTGCTGATAAATTTTTAAAAGAAATATATAAATATATATTTATATTAATCACAAATATTAATATATAATCGAATCCCTCAAAGAAGTTAAAATCACTAATTTGTACCTCTATATATACCAAGAGAGCTTTAAATTTAATAGCATTATCAGAAAGAAAACCAACAATATAAAGATCACCATCAAGAGGTGCCTCTGCACCAAAATATACGAAAATTGGTGCATACTTAGAATTAGAACCACCCCAGTACTTAGAACTTATTACATATCTTTGCTGAAAGGTATTGTAGCTTTCAGGGTTATAATTGAAATGATCAAGTGTTTGGTTGTAGAAATATGTCTCCAAATCATCAGAGAGTGATGATTCAGATAAACTTTCAGGGTCTTCTAAAGAAATTCTTGGTCCTATTGGGCTAAGTCTTGGTATATTAAATTTTTTTGAAGTTGCAGAAGTTAAGAGAATGAAGAAGAAGAAGAAGAACAGAAACCATTGGAATAGACATTTCGAAGACATTGTAATGTTGCTTCAAGAATATCTATTTGTTTCCAAGGTTTTACTTGTGAAATAAAGTATGTACAAGGAGCATATTTATAGACCAATAGTTGCTTATTTGCTTATATTTTTTGCATAAAATTATTTTACTTAAATGTGGGTGTAAAAACTCGGTCAATCTGATAATGACACACTACAAAAAATTAAAAATCAAAACCCAACTTTAAGATACAGGTATTAAGGTTTGAAGGCCTAATAAATTGCAAAAAAATCTCGAAATCTTTGCACAAGCGATATGAGATAAAAATTTTAAATAAAATATCTCAAGGTCTTTGCATAGACAATATGAGAGAGAGAATTTAAATGGAGTTTTTAGAAGAATGCTCTAAAATGAAAAAAAAAATGCAAAAAAATCTCGAAATCTTTGCACAAGCGATATGAGATAAAAATTTTAAATAAAATATCTCAAGGTCTTTGCATAGACAATATGAGAGAGAGAATTTAAATGGAGTTTTTAGAAGAATGCTCTAAAATGAAAAAAAAAATTATAACTCATTTTCATATATTGGCTAGACATGTAGAATGACCTCATGCACTTGTGTTTGTGTACATAAAAAGTTTCCACCGTTTTAGCTTTAATGGTAAATTGGTGGTGGCGCTATTACAGGATGGGTGGCCAGTGGGCTACATCATGTTCATATAGAACACATTATTGTATTTTGAGTGGAACAACATGCGCTGAACCAAGTTAATAATTTGTAGTGGTTTCTTATTTTCTAATTTAAGTGCTGAAGTGATAAAAGGCTGCCAATGGATGGGTGGTTAATTTTTTTTACTTATGTGATGGGAGGACTATCTTTATTGTGTACCTATAATATTCTTTTAGTTCATTGAGCTCATCTTTAAAATCTAAAAATTTATTGCTTTTAACCAATAAATATAAAAATTTTTATCTGTTTTAGTAGATCTAAATTAGGAAATAACTTTGTCCTGATTTTGGATATAAATTATAATATATCCCACTAATTAACTACTTATCCTAGGGCTGTGTAGTGATTTGCTTGGAGTAAAACTATAACTTGGATAAGTATAGACTACTATAGAGGTCAATGGAATTTAAAATTAGGGAATAAGCTGGAAGTGGTAAAGCATTGACTGACTATTACAAAATGACTCAAAAGAAGCAGTTGCTTCAAAATATTTAAAAAAGAAAAAGACGAACAAAAGTTTTAAGGATTTTCAAAGCCAAGCCGGCATATATTGTTTGATTTGCATGTATCTATTTGCCAGCTTGTGCCATCTCAGGCAGTTAAGTACTGCAGAAGAAACAAAAAATGATTTTACACTTCAGCTCAGTTTCACAGTAAAGATAGCTTTCAGTAGGCATGTCCACGGTTCCCCCGCTTCCGGAACCGGTGGTTCCGATTCCAAAATTTTTGGAATCGGATTTGATTCCGATTCCGGTTTGAAACCGAACGGTTCCAGTTCCGGTTCCGGTTCCTTAACGGTTTCAAAACCGACGGTTCCGATCGATTTTCCGGCGAATCGCATAATTTTAAATTTTAAATTTTAAATATTAAAGACCGGTTTTCAAAATTTAAAAAATTTGTGAAAGTTATTTCTTAAAAAAATACACCTAAAAAATTAAAAAATGCTTCAATTAAATTTATTTTTTTTAGTTGAGTCCGATCGATTTTAACCGAGCGAATCGCATAACTTTTAAATTTTTAAAATTTTAAATATTAAAGACCGGGTTTTTCAAAAATTTTAAAAAATTTGTGAAAGTTATTTCTTAAAAAATACACTAAAATAATTTATTAAAATGCTTCTTAATCTAAAATTATTATTTTTATGTTAGAGAGACTTGATATCTTATTATTAATTTTCTTTTTAGTAATCAAGGAAAAAGTCTTCAATGAATATATATTTCTTGCTCCTCTTATAAAAAGTTTGAACAATAATTTAATATATAAAAGAGAAGGCTTGAACTTATTTTTTATTTAAAGAGGAGAAAGCAAAATTAATGTTGAAAACTACGTATCCTAATTGGGGTTTAGATGACATCCAAAAAGCTTCACTGTAAGTTAAAGGTGTGTCCAAAATTAAAAATGTTTTAAAAAATAAATGTTCAAAATAGCGTTCTGAATTCGGGTTAGAACCGGCCAGGAATTCAGAACCATGGTTCTAAACCGACGGGTAAATCTAATTCTTCTCTCTTTTTAAGGCCGAGAGAATCCGTCGCAAATATCCAATCCAGTTGTTTCCTGACCGGTTATGTGGACTCTGGAATCGGGGTTTTGCGAGATAGTTAGTTCCTTTAACAAAAACATGTTGGTGAACCGGATAGGCCGAAACCGGAAAACTCATCACATCGATTCTCCTTTTGATTCTCGATTTCAGATCCGGTTCCGAGATGATGGCCATAGGAACCGTAATATTGCCGAAAAAAAAAAAAAGGCTTGAACTTATTTTTTTTTTTAAAAAAAAAAAATTAAGTTGACTACGTATCCTCTTGGGGTTTAGATGAATCAAAGCCCACGTAGTTAAGTTGCCAATAAAATTTTTTAAAAAAAAGTTAAAAGGTTCAAACGGTTAGAACCGCCGGTTCAAACCAGTTCAAACCGACGGTTCTAACCGGCCGGAGAACCGGCAGTTCCATCCGGTTCTGACCGGTTTGTGGAACTGCCGGTTTGCAGTTCCAACAACATTGGAACCGGAACCGACCGAAAATATCCGATTTTGATTTCGATTCAGACCGGTTCCGATTCCAGGAACCGTAATATGGCCACCCCTAGCTTTAAGCATCTTTATTAAATCAAAATTCTATACATATTAATTATAGCATCTCGTAACATAGTTTAAAGTTTTTTTCCAAATTTACCTAATTAAACAATTAACGAGCGATATTTGGAAGATGGAGAAGGAAGCAGGGTCTCCAATAATGTGATAAAGTGGAATTTGGTTTGAATGAAGTTGCACTATATGAGGCCATGGTGGTGACTTAGCTAAAAGTGACGTCACTTGACAATAGTGTTGTCAAAAGACAACATTGTCCCACCAATACTGAAATAAAATAATCAAAGCTAAAGTGCAAGTGCCCATAAACAAAAAAGCAGTCAACTTACGTGGCTTGAAGACTTTATATATATGTATATATTTTAAATAAAAGTTCCTTCCTCACTTTCTACTCACGTTTTTCACATTTCAGTTCTAGAATAAAAAACAGATTCCTGTTTTCGCAAAAGAAATCTGTTTTTCAAACAGGAAGTAACGTTCTTGCTTGGGATTTTAATTAAGATACCAGTAATCTGTAATTTAGTGATTATTTAGCCAATGAAGCCTTAGGCTATAAGTGATCTCTAAACTAGGAAATAAATTTTGTTGATTTCAAATTAAGATAGTATTTTCTCCGTTCCATTTTGTTTCTAAGGTTTGACAAAATATACAAATTAAAAATTTAGTAAATAAAATTTATTTTGCCCTTTTTCATTCTCAAATTAGAAACTTTGTAAATATTTTAAAATATTCAAAAAATGAATAACAAGTAAAAAAATATGAGATGGATGGAGTATTATTTTTATAAAAAAATTAAGTTTTAACCGATTTATCAAAATGTCATAAATTATATTTTATTATAAATATCACATCTCACAACTATTCTACAAACAGTAATCTCCAAAAATCTATTATAGAACCGTGAGACTTAACTGGGTTAAGACTCAAGCCTCTGAAATGAAAATCTGGACACAACGGAAATCATAAATTAAGCTTTAAACAATTTATAAAAATATCATAAATTATTTTATGAAGAACTTGACTAAATCTGTGGCTTTCATGTTTATTACTGTCTTTTCTACAACTTCCACGAACGGTTGATTTTGGACAATTCATATAAAAATTATACTTTCTTAAACCAACAAGGTTCAAAGAATTTTCCCTTCAATAAGGACAATAACAATGATCGACAAGACTCCATTATCCCCATAATTCTTGATATCAAACCTCAAAGATTACTTTTTTTTATGGAATACAATCTTGTCCGTTGTTCTTGTGCTTATGTAATAGCTAGGTTAACGTTAAATCCTAGTAACATTTTGATTCCTTGTCTTGTTGTTATTATTCATAAAATTTATTTCCTAATGGATATAGGATCTAATATTTTCTACCCTATTCAAAGAATTAATTTATAAAATATTAAATTTTTTTATGAATTATCTAAAATCAACCGTTTGGAAAAATTATAGAAACAATAGTAATGAATATGAAATCAACCATCGATTTATTCAAGTAAGTTCTTCATAAAATATTTAATGATATTTTTATAAATTAATTAAAATTTAATTTGTGATTTTCGTTGCGTGGAGATTTATGTTGCAAACACCTGAATCTGAATCGGGGTATTGTAATATGTCTTTGGCTATTGCTATTTGTAGAATATTTGTGAGACATGCTATGATGTTTGTGATAAAATACAATGTGTGATATTTTGATAAATTGGTTAAAATTTAATTATTTATAAAATAATATAACTTGTAAAAATAGAATAATAAAATTTGTATTTATTGCTTTTTAAAGAATGGCAAACAGATGGAAGGGATAATGATTTTCAGATTGCTATTGATGAGTATATAAAATACAAGAGCAGTAACAAAATGCCTACAATACAGGAATACGTTTTACACTATCTCAGTAAACATCCCTGTGATCAAGGAATAGGAATAATAGAAGTTTGACTACGAGGTTTAATGATTTTTCAGATTGCATTGATTGAGTATATAAAAATGACAAGAGCATTAGTTAACCATAAAATGCCTACCAAAGTGTTAGTTATCAGTCGAATACGAGTTTTTTACACGTTATCTCAGTATAACATGCCCTAGATAAGATCAAGGGAATAGGGGAATAGAATAGAAGTTTGAGCTAACGAGGTTTAATATTTATTACTCTATCACTCCCCCCCGCACTTTAACTTTCAGTGGGAAGGAACCACCTTGAGTTTGGATATTCAATTTGAAGAATACCAGTGGTTTTGGACAAAAATAGGCTTTGTTAAGTAAAATCTGCTTATGCT